AGTTTCTTGAGGCTTTAAAATTTTGTTACAATTTTTTTATTTTTGAAATATTGATGATTTTCAGAAATTTTGGATTCCTTGAATTTCTTGGATTCCTCGAAGTTCTTGGGTTCTTGGACTTCTTGGGTTTTTAAATTTTCGGGGTTTCTTCAGTTTCGTTGTCTTTTTGGATTTCCTTGGTTTCTTGGACTTTTTGGGTTCTTAGTCTTTTGAGGTTTTTTGGATTTCTTAGGTTATTTTCTTACATAAGTTTGAATTTCTTGGATTTCTTAGATTTCTTAAGTTTCTTGGCCTTGGGTTTCTAAAAAGTTTTAAAATTTTGTTTCAAATTTTTCATTTTTAGAGTATTGGGAATTTTAAGAAATTTTGATTTCTTGGATTCCTCGAATTTCTTCGATTCTTGGAGTTCTTTGGCTTCTTGGGTTTTTGAATTTTCGGGGTTTCTTGGGTTTCATCGTCTTTTTGGATTTCCTGGGTTTCTTGGACTTCTTGGGTTTTTGGTCTTCTGAAAAATTTGGGATATCTTGGGTTCTCTGAATTTCTGTGACTTCTTGAATTTCCCAAGTTTTTATAAGTTTCTTCGGAGTACAAAATTTTTGATTTTCCAGAAAGTTTATGTTTTAAGAAGTTTGAATTTCTTGGATTTCTTGGTTGGCTTAAGTTTCTTGGTCTTGATTTTCTTGAGATATTAAAATTTGGTTCCTTTTTTTTTAGAATATTTATAATTTTCAGGATATTGGATTCTTGGATCTCTTGGGTTTCTTGAGATTTTTAAATTTTTTGAATTTTTGGGTTTCGTTTTTACAATGGATTCCTTAATTTTCTCGAACTTCTTGGGCTCTTGGGTTTCTGAGATTTCTTGAATTTTTTGAGTTATCTTTGCGTGTCTGAGGCTTTTTGAGTTTCTTAAAGCTCTTGAGTTTCTTCGGAGTTCAAAATTTTTGATTTTCCAGAAGGTTTATAAGTTTGAATTTCTTGGATTCCTTGGTTTCTTTAAGTTTCTTGATCTTGAGTTTCTTGAGATATTAAAATTTTGTTCCAAATTTTTGTTTTTTAAAGTTTTAGAATATTGGTAATCTTCTGAATTTTGGATTTCCTAAATTTTTGAATTCCTCGGATTTGTCGAATTTCTTGGGTTTCTTGAGTTTTTTTTTTTATTTCCGGGGTTTCTTGGTTTCTTGGGCTGCTGAGATTTCTTGGATTATCCGAGTTTCTGAGGCTTTTTGAATTTCTCGAGTTTCTTAAGTTTCTTGGAAATCCAAAATTTTTTATTTTTCAGAATGTTTTAAGAATTTTGAATTTCTTTGATTTTTTGGTGTGCTTAAGTTTCTTGAGGTTTTAAAATTTTCTTCAAAACTTTTGTTTTTTTTTTAGAATATTTAGAATCTTCTTGGATTTCACGGATTTCTTGTGCTTTCTTGGTTTTTCATTTTAAGTTTCTTGGGATTTCTTATGCCACTGGATTTCTGGGTTGTCTTAGACTTTTTGAGCTCTTTGATTTCTGAGATTTCTTAAATTTCTTGGATTATCTGTGTACGTGAAGCTGAGTTTCTTGGTCTTGAGTTCCTTGAGGCTTTAAAATTTTGTTCCGAATTTTTGATTTTTAGATTATTGATAATTTTTAGAAATTTGGATTTCTTGAATTTCGTGGATTCCTCAAATTTCTCGAATTTTTTGGGTTCTTGGAGTTCTTGGGTTTTTGAATTTTCGGGATTTCTTCAGTGTCGTCTTTTTGGATTTCTTGGGTTGTTTGGACTTCTTGGGTTCTTGGGCTGCTGAGATTTTTTTAGATTTTTTGAGTTTATTGGGAGTTGAAAATTTTTGATTTTCCAGAATGTTTCTGTTTTAAGAAGTTTCAATTTCTTGGATTTCTTGGTTTGCTTAAGTTTCATAGATTTGAGTTTCTTGAGGCTTTAAAATTTTGTTCCAAATTTTTGATTTTTAGAAAATTGATGATTTTCAGGAATTTGGATTTCTTGAATTTCTTCGATTCCTCCATTTTCCTGGGTTCTTGGAGTTCTTGGGCTTCTTGGGTTTTTGAATTTTCGGGGTTTCTTGAGTTTCGTTGTGTTTTTGGATTTCCTAGGGTTCTTGGACTTCTTGGGTTCTTGGACTTTCGACATTTTTTGTATTTCCTGGGTAATCTGAGTTTCTGAGGCTTCTTGAATTTTTCGAGCTTCTTAAATTTCTTGGGAGTTCCAAATTTTTTGTTTTCTAAAATGTTTATATATTTTAAGAAGTTTAAATTTCTTGGATTTCTTGGTTTGCTCAAGTTTCTTGGTCTTGAGTTTCTTCGGTTTGAGTTTTTTGAGTTTCTGGGATTTTTTGGATTTCATTGTTCTACTGGATTTCTTAATTTTCTCGAACATCTTGGGCTCTTGGGTTTCTGAGATTTCTTGAATTTCTTGGATTATCTAACCATGTGGGGCTAAGTTTCTTAGTTCGTGAGTTTCTTGAGGCTTTAAATTTTGTTCCAAATTTTTTGATTTTTAGAATATTAATAATTTTCAGAAATTTGGATTTCTGGAATTTCTTGGATTCCTCGAATTGTTCGAATCTCTTGTGCTTTTGGAGTCCTTGGGTTTGTGAATTTTCGGGGTTTCTGGAGTTTTGTTGTCTTTTTAGATTTCCTGTGTGTCTTGGACTTTTGAGTTCTTGGACTTCCGAGGTTTTTGGATTTCTTGGGTTATCAGGTTTCTTGAATTTCTTAAGCTTCTTGGGAGTTCAAAATTTTTGTTTTTCCAGAACGTTTGTATGCTTTACGAAGTTTGAATTTCTTGGATTTCTTGGTTTGCTTAAGTTTCTTGGTCTTGAGTCTCTTGAGATATTAAAATTTGGTTCCAAATTCTTATGTTTTTTTAGCAAATTTATAGTTTTCAAAATCATGGGTTTCTTGAGTTTTTTTGAACTTATTGAATTTTTTGGGTTTCGTTGTTCCACTGGATTTCTTAATTTTCTCGAACTTTTTGGATTCTTGGGTTTCCGAGATTTCTTGAATCTCTTGGGAGTTCAAAATTTTTGATTTTTCAGAATGTGTGTAATTTCAAGAATTTTGAATTTCTTAAGTTTCTTGGCGTTGGGTTTTTTGAGGTTTTAGAATATTGATAATCTTCAGAATTTTAGATTTCCGAAATTTTTGAATTCCTCGGATTTGTCGAATTTCTTGCTTTCCTTGAGTTTTTTTTTTATTTCCGGGGTTTCTTGGTTTCTTGGGCTTCTGAGATTTCTTGCATTATCTGAGTTTGTGAGGTTTCTTGAATTCCTCGAGTTTCTTAAGTTTTTTGGGAGTGCAAAATTTTTGATTTTTCAGAAAGTTTATGTTTAAGAATTTTGAATTTCAAATTTTTGTTTTTTTAGAATGTTGGTAATCTTCTTGGATTCCTTGGATTTCACGGATTTCTTGGATCCCTGGATCTCTTAGTTTTTTATTTTAAGTTTCTTGGGATTTTTTAACGAATTTCATCTATTTTCATAATTCTAGGTTAGAACAGGTTAGAAGATTTCTTAAATTTCTTGGATTATTTGAGAATGTGATGCTAATTTTTTGTTCCTGAGTTTCTTGGGGCTTTAAATTTTGTTCCAAACGTTTGATTTTTAGAATATTGATAATTTTCAGAAATTTGAATTTTTTTAATTTCTTGGATTCCTCGAATTTCTTGGGTTCTTGGAGTTCTTAGGCTTCTTGGATTTTTGAATTTTCGGAATTTCTTGAGTTTCGTTGTTTTTTTGGATTTCTTGGGTTATCTGAGTTTCTGAGTGGCTTCTTGAATTTCGTAAGTTTCATGAGAATTTAAAATTTTGTTGCTTTTTTTTTTTAAGAATATTTATAGTTTTAGATTTTTGGACTTCTTGGATCTTGGACTTCTTGAGTTTTTTAATTTCTCGGATTTTTTTGGGTTTCGTTGTTCCACTGGATTTCTTAATTTTCTCGAACTTGTTGGGCTCTAGGGTTTCTGAGATTTCTTGAATTTCTTGGGTTATCTGAGTATGTGAGGCTTCTTAAGTTTCTTAAATGTCTTGGGTTTCTTGGGAGTTAAAAATTTTTTATTTTCCAGAACGGGTTTATTTTTTTTTTTTTTGAGAAGTTTGAATTTCTTGCTTTGCTTAAGTTTGTTGGTCTTGAGTTTCTTGAGATATTAAAATTTGGTTCCAGTTTTTTTTTAGAACATTTATAATTTCCAGGATATTGGCTTCTTGGATCTCTTGGGTTTCTTGAGGTTTTTGAATTTCAAGGATTCTTTGAATTTCGTTTTTCCAATGGATCCCTTAATTTTCTTGAACTTCTTGCGCTCTTGGGTTTCTGAGATTTCTTGGGAGTTAAAAATTTTTGACTTTTCAGAATGTCTATAATTTCAAGAATTTTGAATTTCTTGACCTTGAGTTTCTTGAGGTTTTAGAATATTGGTAATCTTCAGAAGCTTGGATTCGCTAAATTTTTAAATTCCTCGGATTTCTTGGGTTTCTTGAGTTTCTTGGGAGTTCAAAATTTAATTAATAAAAATTGAGATGATGCCAAGATTTTTTTAAAGCGATGATAATTAAACTGAGTATTTTCCGAGATATTAATAATAATACTTTTTTTGAAATATTCACTGCAAACTTAAAAAAAAAATAACAACGATAGCACACTTTCAGCAAAGACCGTATTTACAGGCACCCCCAAGTATCTTCCTAAAATCTAATCATGTTTATAGGTTAAAAAAGTAAAATTTCTTTGTCTACAGAACTTACTTAAGTTTGTCCTAGTTTTTTTTAATCTCAGTTTCTTATATTTACAAGAAAATGATTCAATTTGTTTTAGAAAATCTAAAATCGATAGCTAGGGAATCTTGGAAACTGTTTAATGATTAATCGCTAATCTTATCTAAATTCTAAAATTCGATGACGTCATTCCAAAATTTTTTTAGATACAGTTGCGGTGACTCGACGTGACCTGACTTGGCGTGACCTGACCTGACCTTTTGCTAATTCAACCTACTCACTCCCTGTATTAATTCCAGGTGCAATTCTCTTAGCTTCCAAAGTATGGGACGACCAAGCCGTCTGGAACGTAGACTACTGCCAAATCCTCAAAGACATAACGGTAGAAGACATGAACGAATTAGAGCGCCAGTTCCTCGAACTCCTCCAGTTCAATATCAATGTCCCTTCGAGCGTATACGCAAAATACTACTTTGACCTACGTACCCTAGCAGAAGCGAACGAACTCACGTTCCCCAGCGAGCCCCTGAGCAAGGACAGAGCCCAGAAGCTGGAGGCCATGTCCAGAGTAATGGAAGACAAGTACACGGCCGAGGCCATCAAGAACGGCTTGAAGAAGTGGTCCAGCCTCGACAACATAACGAACGGTGGGACGGCGGCGAGGAGAAGCGTCGCCATTTTGTCGTGATCAAAACGTATTTTTTTTATTTTTTATGAGATCTACCAAAGTATTTCTAGTGGAAGTTATTTTATTTTTCTTAGATCTTTCGTACATTTTTTTTTTTTTTCAAATCATATTTATTATTATATTATCGATGCTTGTGTTTGACTTATTTATTACTGGCAACTCACAATTATCTTACGTAATGGAAAAGCCTAATCGACTGTATTTACTTATACTGTGTTAGATGTTTTGGTTGCAGTGTGTCACTTGGTTCGTAGGTGGCGTCTCGGTTGTGATGCACTGCCAGCGATTGCCAACATGTACATAAAATTCTAGTGATTGAAACTTTCCATTCCAAAATGTATGTCAGGGAGAGTGTTTCTAGATGCCGAGAAGAGGAGATTATATTAAAATTGCACAACCCTGCTTTTCATACACGTCCACTATATAAAATAAGTGATTTTTGATAATTATGTTGGAGGACAATCCTGTAATATGATGCCTATTTTCAATTTTTATACTATACCAGGCTTTGTCTAGAAAAAGTGAAAATATATCTGGAAAAAAAGAGTGCGTGTTTTTCACCTACCCCCCCGGCGCTAGACGCCACTGTTTTCGACAATAGTGTCAGCTCTAGTGTATTCATTATGGCGCTTTAAAAAAATATGAAGAGATTTGTATATAATAAGGTAGTATAAAAAAAATATTGAAGTTATTTAATAATCCGCCCTTGAAGCACAAATAAATCTGTTTAACATCCATTATTTTTAATTCTCTCAAAAAAAAAAAAAAATTATAAAACTAGAGACCTCTTAAAATTAACAACCTGATTTTTTACAAACTAGAAGAAGAATAAAGTTTTATGTTGCGGAGTAAAATTAATTTAGCAATGTTTAACAAACTGAATTGTTGACGGTTGAGGACTCCTCGACTTATGTTGGCAACAGTGTTTATTTCTAAATAGGAATAAAATTAACTAGAAAAAATGTCATAATATTTTTAACGACGCGTTTTCAGTTTGCTCCTATTTATTATTCAATTTTTGGATTTTACAATTTTTCAATTTCTCTGTTTTCAGTTTTTCTCTTCAGTTTTACGATTTAAATTTTTTTTTTTCAATTTTTGACTTTTATAAACTATTTGTCGATTTTTCAAATGATTGATTTTTCAGGTTTTTTGGTTTTTCAATTTTTCTAGTTTTTCAGGTTTCGATTTTTCAACTTCACTTTTTTGATTTTTCGATTTCTCAATTTTTCAATTTTTTAATTTCTGTTTTTGGACATTTTTAGTTTACTTATTATTCAATTTTTCGATCTTGCGATTTTGCAGGTTTTTGATTTTTCAATTTTTCGATTTTTTTAAGGTTTCGATATTTCGACTTCACTTTTTTGATTTTTCGATTTCTCAATTTTTCGATTCTTTAGGTTCTCAGTTTTTCAGTGTTTAAAATTTTAGATTTTTCGATTTCCGCTCTTCCATATTTCAATTTTTCAAATGTTTCGATTTTTCGACTTCCCGATTTTAGATTTTCTGTTTTTCAATTGTCGTTTTTTCAATTTTTCGATTTTTAAATTTTAGATTTTTCAGTTTTTTGATATTTTAATTTTTCAATATTTAAAATTTTAGATTTTTCGATTTCTCGATTTTTCATTTCAGTTCTTCAATATTTCCGTTTTTCATGTTTTTCAAAATGTTTTGATTTTTTAATCTATCGATTTTTCGACTTCCCGGTTTTAGATTTTCTGTTTTTCAATTGTCGTTTTTTAAAATTTTCGATTTTTTACTTTTTCCAATTTAGCTTTTATAAACTGTCAATTTTTCGATTTTACAATTAATCGACGGTTTGATTTTCCCATTTTTTGAGTTTCGAGGGTTTCGATAATCCTGTTTTTCAATTCTTTAATTTTTCGAATTTTCATTTTTTGATTTTTCAGTTTTTCGATTTCACAATTTTTCGATTCTTTAGGTTCTCAGTTTTTCGATATTTCAGTTTTGGGATTTTTAAATATTTCTGTTCTTCGACTTTTCCATTTTTGACTTTTTACTTTTTCAATTTTTAAATTTTAGATTCCTCAATTTTTTGGTATTTTAATTTTTCAATATTTAAAATTTTAGATTTTTCGATTTCTCGATTTTTCATTTCAGTTCTTCGATATCTCCGTTTTTCATGTTTTTGAAATGTTTTGATTTCGTAATCTATCGATTTTTCGACTTCCCTGTTTCAAATTTTCGATTTTTCAATTTATCAAATTTGGCATTTATAAACTGTCAATTTTTCGATTTTACAATTAATCGATGTTTTGATTTTCCCATTTCTTGACTTTCGAGGGTTTCGATATTCCTGTTTTTCAATTCTTTAATTTTTCGATTTTTCATTTTTTTCTTTTTTGAAGGTTTCGATTTTTCGACTTCATTTTTTGGATTTTTCGATTGCTCAATTTTTCGACATTTTAGGTTCTCAGTTTTTGGATATTTTAGTTTTCAGATTTTTCAGGTTTTCCATTTCTCAATTTATCTTTCATTTTTCAGTTTTTCGATATCTCAGTTTTGGGATTTTTCAATATTTCGATTCTTCGACTTTTCGATTTTTGATTCTTGAATTTTTCGATGTCTCTTAACTTTTTCCTTTTTCGATTTTTCAATTTATGGATTTTTAAATTTTAGATTTTTCAATCTTTTGATGTTTTAATTTTTCAATATTTCTTAATCTTTCGATTTTTCCACTTCCTGGTTTTAGATGTTCTCTTTTTCAATTTTTCGATTTGTTAATTTTTCGTTCCCGATTTATCGAGATTTGATTGATCAGGTTTTCGATTTATGAGTTTTTCAATTTTTTTGGCCTATTTCGGTTTCTCAGTTTTTCCAATTTTCCATTTTTTCGTTTTTTGATTTTTGTTTGTCGATTTCTCGTTCTTTTGATTTCTCGATTTATCGAGATTTGGATTTTTCGATATTTTGATTGTCAATTGCTCAGTTTATAAATTGTTCAATTTTTAACTTTTCGATTTTGGCCTATTTCGGTTTCTCAATTGTTCGACTTTTCGACTCCACGATTTCTTGATCTTTTATGGTAAACAAAGTGCCTAAAATTTAAATTTAATTAGAAATCCTGATTACATTTTATATGTAGTTACAACGAGAGAGGGGAAAAAAATTAACAAAATAGATTATTTTTATTACTGTATCTTACTCTGTTTTTGTTCGTCTTCTTCTAATAATTAATGTGTCTTTTAAAAAAGTAACTTATGATTAACTTTAAATTTCGAAAACTGAAAAATTCAAATATAGAAGAACTGAAAACTCGAGAAATCGAAAAACCTAAAATTTTAAAAATTGGAAACTTAAAATATCGAAAAGTTGAAAGATTGTGAAAACCGACAGTTCAAAAAACGAAAAATTGAAAATCCAAGAATAAAAAGTCGAGAAATCGAAAAATCCAGAACGTGAAAAATCCAAAAATCGAAACCCTTGGCAAATCGAAAATGGGCAAATCAAAAAATAGATTAATGGAGAAATCGGAAAACTGAAAATTCAGAAACGTCAAAACTTGCAAATTTAAAAAATTGGAAAATTGAAAAATCGCATAATTCAAAAATCGAAAAGCCGAAAAGTAAAAAAACGAAAAACCGATAAATTGAAAAATCGAAAAATAAAAAATTCGGAAAAAAAAAATTAAAATATACAAGAACCGAAAACTCGAAAAATTCAGAAATCGAAATATATATAAAACAGTCGACAATTGAAAAATCCAAAAAACGAAAAACTGAAAATCCAAAAAATAAAAAGTCGAAAAGACGAAAAATAGAAATATTAAAAAATTAGCCAACCGAAAAATCCAAAAATCGAAGAATTGAAGAGCTGAAAAATCGAAACCGCAAATTCGAGAAACGGGAAAATCAAAAAAATATATATTAATTGAAAAATCGGAAAACTGAAAATTTAGCAACGACAAAATTTGAAAAATTGGAAAATAGAAATATTGAAGAACTGGAAAATGAAAAAATCCAGAAATCGAAAAATCTAAAATTTAAAACATTGAACAATTGAAATATCGCAAAATTGAAAAATGGAGAAATCCAAACATCAAAGAATCAAAAAAGGAAAATTCGAAAATCTAAAACTTAAAAATCGAAAAACTGAAAAATCCACAAATCCGGACCTAAAAAAAATTGAAAAATCGGACAACTGAAAAATCGAAACATCAAGAACTAGAAAAAAATTGAAAAATTGATAAATTGAGAAATTGAATAATCAAAACATCCAAAGGTCTAAATTCGATAAATCGAGAAATAAAAAAAGTTGAAAAATTTTTAAAAATAAAAATTAAAACATCGAAAAGTTAAAAAACATTGAGAAATCGAAGTATAAAAGTGTCGAAAATTTGAAAAATCAAAGAATCAAAAAAGAAAAATTCGAAAATCTAAAACTTAAAAATCGAAAAACTGAAAAATCGACAAATCGAAACTCCTGACTTTGGAAAAATTGAAAAATAGGATAACTGAAAAACCGAAACATCGAAAAATTGGAAAATCGAAAAACCGAGAAATCCAAAAATCGAAACATCGAGAAATAGAAAAAAATTGAGAAATTAATAAATTGAGAAATTGAACAATCAAAACATCCAAACATCTGAATTCGATAAATCGAGAAATAAAAAAAAAATTAAAACATCGAAAAGTTGGAAAAAAAAGAGAAATCGAAACATAAAACTGTCGAAAATTTGAAAAATCTAAAGTTTAACGAAAAATTGAAAATCCAAAAAGTAGAAATGGGTTGGAAACCCAAAAACTGCAAACTGAAAAATTTTAAAATCGGAAAATCGACGAATTGGAATCGGTTGGCCTGAAAACTTGAATAAACGAAAAATTGGAAAATCGAAAGAAACAACAAAACTTAAGGAAATGAAAAAATAAAAAATTGTGATATAAAATCGAGAAAATGAAAAATAAAAAATTAGGAAAATGCAAAATAAAAATCGGGGAGTTGAAAAATTGAGGGGACGAAAAATTGAAAAAGGGGAAAATTAAAAATCGAGAATGTGAAAAATGGAAAAATGAGAAATTGTAATAGTGAAAAATAAAAAAGCGAAAAAGTGTATAATAAAAACTTGAAAAATGTAAAAAGTGAAAATCAAACGTGAAAATTTGAAAAATTGAATAAATAAAAAATTGTAAATCGAAAGAAACAACAAAAATAAAAATAAAGGAAATAAAGAAACCAAAAATTGTGATATTAAATCGAGAAACGTCGAGAAAACATAAAATTAGTCATTCGCCAGACGGATCTCTTTACTGCGTTATCAGCAAAAAAAATCTCTAAATCGAATATTACAATTATCTGACAAAACTGAATACGTTATACCGGACTTCAAGAGCGAGGAAAGTGCTGTCTAAATAACTTTAGACCAATTTTTATAATTCAAAAATTTACATAGAGTATTAAAAATAAAACACCCATTGCTTTCGAATAATTTCGAATGTCTTGTGCTATTTTTTTTTTAATTCCACCAATATTTTCTATTTTGACAAAATGACGAAAGAATCGAAACTTGGAGAGGTATACCTACAAAA